GTTTACACGACTTTTATCCTGGGTTGTGCCTTTAGGTCTATTTTATTGATAAGACTTTCTTGTAAAATGTAAAGAGAAGAGAAACAGGTGTAAAAATCCAGCGCTTACGAGAAGATGTCGGACAGATTTTGTCGTCCACTTTCTGTCAGAACAAGTTGGTGCATCTGCTCGAATCCCTGAACATTAACAACTGATTTGGTTCTGGTCTTTTGGTTGCTGCGATATTTGCTTTTGTGAGACTTATTGCGAATGCAGTGCTAATTTCAGAGGTTTACGGATTGCTCAGCACCGCAGATCTCACCTGTTCAACATTATCGCCCTCTCGTACGCTTCATGAAACAGTTTGAAGAATCACTGAAACTTTCTTACCTTCGCTATATTGTTTGCGCAATCCTCACTGTAGCTCCTGGTAGAAGCTTCAACGACCTCCAAGTACTTCTGGAAAAAAGTTTTTATTTTTCCAAAATAGATATCCTATTAAGAATATTAGAATTGGAAGCCTGAACCATACCTTGCTGGGTTTTTTTTTCAGTTTCCATTAAAGGGGATGTTACAGAAAAATCTTTGAGGTGAAAGAAAAGGAAGTAAAGAGTGCAGTGATGAAGAGAAAGCCGGGTGAAAACGGCCTAACACCCGCGAAATTGAGCCAATTTTCCAGTCGATTTCCGCTCTGGGCGATTTTCGACAGTAATTGTAAATCATGCTATGACGCCGTGCTTTGGTCCCTCTGCTGTCTCTCTCGCCGCAGACGGTAACCTCTCACCATCAAACAATCACGGTCGAAGTCCTCCAGTAGGAGGGGGCCGGAACAGGGCAGGAAGCGCTTGCGCCGCGGTTAGGTTAGCCAGGTGGTGGCGGACGCGCCCTTGGCCGCGAAAGATGTCTCTAGTCGCTCCCCTGGGACCCTACGTCCTTCTGTAGTAAGTAAGTCCTTCTCCCACTTTTTCATATCCGATCTATCGTAACTTCCTTTTTTGAGCAATCTGACTAGAAATCACTCTACGCAGTTTAGTTCCGTTGAAACAATCCCTACCACAAATGAGGTAGCTGGCCTCGCGACTACAGAGGCTACACTATTTTTGTGATTGCAGTTCCTACTGCATAGCCACAATCCATGTTGAAGAACAAAATAATAATAAGACTGAAAGACACAGAAAAAAAGGAACAGAGATGAGGTAAAGGAGAAAACGACATTAAGCACTCATTTATTTATTTATTATTTATTTATTTATTATTATTGCACGCTTAGGTGCGCTACATTAATTCACATCTTAACATCAGTAAAACTAGGGAACACAAAACATTGTTAAGTGAACCAGCTAGGCAGCAGGCGAGATAAAGAGATGATTCTCCAGGACTAAATTTGGAAAAGCAGAGATGTCGATAAATGCAAATTAGGAGATTCCTGTAGGCCCAATTGAAGTTGTGTCTCGAACAGAAATGTGTTCACTTATAAGAATTAGCACGCAGAAATCCAAGACCAAGTTTACGAATCAAGACATTAAAACTTTCCCAAGGTTGCTTTGAAAGAACCTAATTTGTATTTTCGGCACTTCCCGGCGAACGTAAGGTAAAAGCGCTAGAAGCTACGGTTTGCATCCATGAATACACCGACTACATCCTTACACGACCATGGTTGCGAATGTACAATGCATTTCGATGGTCTGCTAGACTCTCTTGTTCTCTGTCTCCGCCGGCGTCCGGTGTCTTCTATTGCCCCGTTGATTTCCTGGACTCACAACCAGCCCAAAATTTAGATTTTGATTTTTATATGATTTGGAACTTATTAGATGACTAATTATTCCCCTTTTCTAATTGACGGCTCACTTTGCACCTCTGCTCTCGTTTCAAGTGCAGTAAATTCAAATTTTAATCGCGGAGGGTGCAGCATTTACGTAAAGCACAAGCATTACCGCAGCCAAATGGTCCAACTGAAACGGTCGGAAATTTCGCTACGTTACAATTCTTTTGTCGTAAGGCTAGGTATAAACGCAGCCATATCTCACCGTAGAAGTCCAGTTTCGCTTCGACAGGTGCTGAAGAGCCGACGGCTCCATGAACTACTTCAGGAAACACTTCTCGCATCCATAGTGATAGTGCGCCTTAATCAATCTTTTAAGAAGAGTGGCTGATGGAAATTTAGCTTCATTCTCTTTTTGGTGCTTACCAGAATAGGATCCTCCGAAAGTTATCCATTTAGGGGGCGTCGTTTGTTGGGCGTTGACTGCTCGAATGAAGTTTGCTACATCGTGGAGCATTTGAATAGAAGAAAGATAAGTGAGATCCTCATTTGCGATTCCATTAGGGCTAAACAAGGCGCTGCAATTTAGCCAAGGTTGTAGAAAGGACCACCTACCCGTAAACAACGCTTTGACCGTAGTATCGGTGTTCTAGTAGGTATACGGTCGCTCCGAATTTCTTCGCCCATGTCAGATAGGTAATGTTCTCGTTGAGAACCCATCTGGACGACTCAGGCCCTTCACCACCAATCATCAGGAACATTGGTCCACCTGGTTGAGCCCACTGGGCGTTTTTGAAGTAGCGCTACAGAAATGAGGGTTATTCTATTGTGATACCTTTTCAGGCTAAAATAATATGGATCAAAGAGAAACCGGTTTTTTTTTACGTTGATACTCGGTTGACTTGCAGCCAGCTGCACGTGCAAAACACCGTTGTCGATCAAAACACATCGTCAACCTTACTCCTTATCTTCCCAAGTTTGCTTTCACATCAGAAACGAACACTACCCTTGTCTGCTCAACTCACCTCCACACACATGGCGATCTTGTCTCAGGGCAAATCAGTGCAGCTCAGAAAGTGCCCGTCTGCTAAGTTTTGCGAAGCAGACGTTGCCCTCAACGCACGCTGTTTCGAATGTGTTGGGATTTTTGAGGATTAAAGGTCCAACAGCTGTGTGAAGAAAGCACCCGCCCCCAGTCCCATAGTTACTTGGTGAATCCGGCATTTTCTGAAAAAAAGATTTCCAAAATTTGCCCAAAATTCACGAGGCGAACAACGACCGCGGAGCGGCCATTCCACCACAACGAGTTGCCACATTCAATTAGTGGGCGCCGGTTGTCCCTTACCATGTCTGGTGCAGGGAGGAATCCATGAGGAGGCCTGGCTAAATGCATTTTCCTGTATCTGGTCCACTCCGGGAATTCCTGAAATAGGAATGCTAGTAAATTCATTTGAAGCGCGTAAAATCTCTAGAGCCACGCACCCACTGCCACAGATTCCTGAGCCGGCTTGAAAGCGCTTGGAATACTCTCCAGCGGTTGGTTTACTTCCGGCTTTGTCCAAGGTACAGCTTCAGTTGGAGCTAGAAGTTTTCTTTCGTCATGATAACGCTTTTGAGTTGGAGGCACATTCAGAGAGCGACAAAGAGATGGAAAGCGGGGTCATGGAGCCCAAATATGACTGTGGCATAGTGGTTAGCAGTGAACACATACTGCAACGGAACCGCTGAAAATACCCTAAACAGGGGCCGTATGTTTCTGGGCGGTAAAAATGTCGTGGGAGCAAAAGAGTCTAATGCAGAGACACCACCCGCTGCAGGGGAGAGAAAGAGACGGAAAGCAGTGCATAAAGGAGAACGAACCACAGATGTCGTAAGCTCTTCCGATCTATAAGGGTAACGGACTACTTGAACTCGCCTTTTGAAACTCATCAATGTGCTGCCCTTTTCTTAGTTCTCTCGCCTGAATAGGGATTCTTGACCACAGTACCTTCGCACGCTTGTTCACCACACGAAAAGTGGTCCACGCACCCCGTATTACCGTGAATTGCCTTCACACCCATTGGCACAGGCAACTCTCGTTCGGTACCTTTAGGTATTGCGATAGGCGTCACTCTCTGACCGTCTGCACTTTGACCCTTTTCAACAAAGAGCACAGAGGTGTAAGTTCAAGTGGCCACATAGCCATAAGACGTGCTCCGACTTGACTCCTGAGCTATTAGCACCTTTCTCAAGCATCGGAAGCATCGAAGTCGTAGTCCTATTTCTGCGATCGCGGGGCAAGCGATAGCAAGAGGGTTTGGTCCAATCGTGTGATGTGCCCACAAGCAAACCTACCTATATGGAATGGACTAGGAGCCTTTGACAGCCAAACGTCGATATTCTGTGGAATGAGCTTGCGAACAACTGTCAGACCAGGTGGGTCTTGCGCCCTCGGCGGATACATGTCAGCACAGTGGGCGGTTCCTAAATTCAGTATAACTATATGTATATGTATTTATATAGAAATTATTATAAGTATAAAGAAATAAAACGGGGTCAGGTATACTTTAGTGACCCACTTTTGGAGGATTTCGATATTTTTTTCTCAAAATTATTTTCCTCTTTATATTCGCTGCTGGTTTTGGGTGCAAGTTCATCTCCATGGGGTTATCAGACCCGTAAGACAAAATTTCGTTAAGATAGCGCTGATGCGGGCGAAACTGGCGCCATTTCTAAGCAGTTTTGCATTGAAGTCATATTCTGTGAGTCAGACTAACCCTCATTCCTCCACTGGAATGGAAGTGGGAAGCAGGGTCAACCGTCACGTTCGAACATTTTCGGGATTTTTGCGACCCCCTGTTTTTGTTAATAAGAGTGCTAGACATGAATCCGTTGCGCCAGAAAGCGTCTGTGCCGCCGCAGAAGCGTCTGCATTGCGCGTCAGCCTTGGAGCGCGGCAGGTATCACCCGGGCGCTGGAAGAACGGGACGCGGCGAAGAAAAAATTTTAGAGGGGAATAACTTTCTTGGGACGTATTTTTTTTGACTTGTTGAGGTAGATTTTGACTGTGCCTGAGGTGCGCTTTCAGAAGGATTGCCTAACTCTCCGGAAAGTACTTCTGTTAGAAGTGGAAAACCCAAAATTCTAAGAAGGCGCACCTTCAACTTTGAAGGCCCATAAAATCTTTCGTATGCGACATTTTGGAAATCTGTAAAAAGTTTCAGAAACTTCAAATATTTCTCTAACAAAACATCAAAGTTTGGTGATTGTCCCCTTTTTTCAAAAAATTGTCCCGTTCGAACATTTTTCGTGCAAAAGCGAGTTTTTGGGCTTTCAGCGACCATAACTCACTTCATTTTCATTTCTGTGATGCACTTTTTCATGGGGTGAAAGTACAGGATTTGCTCTTTCTAACAAGCACCAAACCGTTTTTCAAAATCATTTTCCGAGAAAATCACACGTTCGAACATTTTGTTCCCATAGGTTTTTTGAGCAGCACATGCGAGTTTTTGAGCTTTCAGCAATAATAACTTCCTTCAAAGAACTTGTTGGGGAGGGGCGAAGACATTTTTGAAGACTACGAGATTTCTGCTTTCTTATATGTTTTACCGTTGTCTGGAAGAATCGTCCTCAGAAAATCAGGTCCCGAAGAACTTTAATTTCAGCCCCGAGAAGTCAAACCTTTTCATAGGGATGCATTCAACTGTTTCCTAAAAAACACCGTAATTTGCCTAAAACTGTCTCTCTGTGCATAATTAATCGAATCTAATGCGGTCTGCACAAACAATTCTTGCCCTCGGATACGCCACGCACGCGCCTGTGGCTGGCAGTCCTCGAAATTGCGACCCCCTTCCGACCAAAATGCGACCCCTTCGTTCGAACAGTTCGAACGGACGGTTGACCCTGGTTTGAATGCGATGTGGCCTATACAATGACTTGCGGGGGCCAGCCGATGTACAAGTCAGTGTTTTTATCCTCCCAGACAAGTCTGGTACCAATTAACCGACCCCGGAGGGATGGAAGGCTTGGTTGTTGGCCCGATCTCATGGTTCATGATTTGATCCCTGGTCAGCGCCCCTCCAAGCAGCGTCAGTTGCCACTACACCACTTCCGCACAAAACGGATAAATAGTTGTCAACAGAACAATTTGAAACAGTAGAACCTTAAGCGAGTTCCTATCTGAGGGAATTCTCAGTTTACAGTCGGCTATCGCTATACGAAAGGAATACGGCAAGCCTGTGGATTGCGCTGCCTGCTTTAACACCCCTTAAATCTGCAGCGAGGTGGCCTCGTAAAAATACGTGTCCTGCAGTCGAGCGCTCACTCTACCTACGCAAAACCCGAGAATATTTTTATCGGCAGTCGCAATGTAACCCCCCCCCCCCCTTTCAAAAAACGAGAAGAGTGTCTCATACACCACAAGTGACGACGGCCTCAAGTAAATCTGGTTAGTGTTTCATAGTGATAGCTGATTTTTGGTAAATGATAGTTGTAATTAGTGACAACTGGTAGAATACAACTGCAACAGGCTAATCTAAGCCTTGCAGAAAGAGAGGTACAGAGCGCCGCGCCGCCGCGTAGCCCTCCCCCTCCCCCTCCCCCTCCAACTCAGATAGCACCTAAAACATTTATGTCAAGTTTTAAAGTAGCACATATATGTCATAAATAAATAGATAATACAGACGAATGGCTAACCATTAACGAGATACCAGACAACGGACGGATCGTTCGAGGTATACTTGCCGAGTGCGTGCCATGGATCCAGCGAGCCGTTAGGGATCACCACATTCGTGCCCTTAATAATAGAGTGAGAAAATAAAAGTGAAGCATGAACGCACAAAAAAACGGCGATTGAACAGCGATTTAACAGCCCTATAGTAGGGTGCGCCATGCATTCTATAATATAATGCCTCGGCACATGAGTGCTAGCGCTTGGCGTCTAGTCACTTTGTTTCTGGAACATGTTCTATCACAATGATGCCTCGCGTAGTCGCGTGCACCCAACAGCAGCTCGTCCAAACATGCGCGGTTCAGCGGAATCATGGAGCAAGCAAGTTCAAGAAAACTGGTCCAACGATACGCCCCTTCACTTCATCCCAAACGTGTTGCGGTACGGAGGTAATCCCTCGTTGAGGGGGTCCATCGGCGATTTCTTCTACCCCTTTTTCGTTTTCAATGAAATTGCATCTGCTTTCGTTATCGTCCACTGTTACCCCACCAGTTTGATCCGAGACTATTGCTTCAGGTAGAACCACACTTGTCATCGCGATGACAGGCTGGTTTCGGCCTATTCTTAATAACGGCTCACGCTGTGTATCCACCGACACCACCGTGAATAGGTCGAGTGTAGAACGGATAGCTGCACTAACATAATCTGCATCGAATTGCTGTCCAAAGACATCACGGCACATATTAATGTAGAGACTAGAACGTTTTCTTGCTCGATTAGAACCAATCGGAATTTATGAATGAATCTGCGCTTTATTTTTATCTTTGCACGCTCACCTCAACGGAGTGACAGAACCGAAAATTCCGTTTGGACCGCCATCGGTTGTTTGGAAATAGCCGAACTCGGTGCACGTTTGCCATGTCCAACTGCGTGCTCCAGCTGAAATCGTAGGTGACTAGCCAGACAAAGTCACATTTCCAGACAATCCCTAATACATACATAAATGGTTGACCTAAGAAACGTGCGGTCGCGGTGCGTGTGCTCGGTGCTGGCAAATCTTCAAGTAAAAGTGTGAGCGATAAAGCCGGAGCTCAGCTCCAGGCGATATATACAGTAGCGGTCAAAAGTTTGGAAACTTTTTTATTTTTGATCTAGCGCGGCCGACACACAACGAAATTGTCCCAAATTTAGATATTCATACAAAATCAAGTCCAGAATACGACGGGAAGAATAATTTCCAAAAACTATAATCATATTTGAGAAATAAGATTTTTTCAAGTAATGGCGCGTCAAAAGTTTGGAAACTTTTTGTTTCCCTCATCATTATGATTCCTACTCTTCAATGTTCACTTGTTTCTGTTAATTTTAGTTCAACCATTGAGTAATGTGTAATTTCAAAATGAATTCATATGCAAAGGAAGCAGTTTTTCCATGGGGTCCTTTTTTAAACCCTACAATCCGGAATACGAAATTGAAACTGTTTCTTAGTAGTTCAGTCTCTACGGAAGCAATATTATCGAATGTTTCTAGCGTTATTGGAGTCGAGTAAGCATAAGAAGAATGATCATTCACAAAAAGTATCCTCACAAGAAAATTGGTCCCTCAAATACTTCGAAGGGTGGTTGGCACGTCCCGTACCCCGATATCCCCAACTAAGAGACGACTTTTTCTGGTTTTTCCTAATCATATGAAAGTCCAAGTGCAGCCCAACATCGGCCGCGACCTGGTGAATATTACGGATGATGTCCCAACAAGAAGCCATTGTTGGGCTTCAAGAGCAGGATGGCCCAACTGGCTTCCGCACACTAACGGCTAACATGGACCGAAGGCGAGAGGTGAAAAC